CCATAGGTTCCAACAAGTTCGCTCCTCCTGATCTCGAGCTGCTCTAACAGAAATGCCACAAATGGGCAGCTTTGTACAAACAGACACTGACTTTCTCCATCTCAGAGACCAGAGCTGGAGTTCAGAGAGCCTGCTCTCAGGGAAGGCTTCTCTCTGCTGCTCTGGAGGAAAGGCCTTTTTTTTTTCTGTAAAGCTTCTGCTCCCTCGTGTGGCTTGGCATCTCTCTTTCCCCCACCTCTTCTCCTTTGGCTTATGTGTTTCATCTCTTTAATGCGATTGACTCAAGGCAAATGGTACACTCATTCTACCTCGTTAATATAACAAACAACCCATTCCCACATGGGATTAGAACCATAGACAGGGAGGTTAGATGTGGGAAACAGAAAGATTTCTCCCAAGTTGACTCCCTAAATATGTTAGACTTAGGACACTGCTGGCAGCTATTGGTAAATGATTGTAAAGTTACCTCCCTGAAGGCAGTCAGTTGCCAGACAACTGTCTGGACTGGTAGGGCCCACTCCCTGCTGCTAAGGACAATGGGCTACTTCTCCCTAAAGGCTTGCAGTCATGGATTTGGTTCCCGTAGGTGGAATTCCCACCCTACTGATATGGTCTCTATAGTTGAGCGAGAGAACAGGTCAAACCGGCTCAGTGACATCCAAAGTTAGGCTGCCATCCTGAATCTAGGATCCGCCCATCCACCCATGTATACCCCCCAATCCTTCCTCTTCCTATTGTGTGTATGCCTCTAAGTCACCCCCCTCCTATTACTGTATTACCAACAGTACAACCCTTTCCTGTGACATATGTCTTCACTTGTAGTTAGGGGGCTTGCATGTCATCAGAAAATATAAAAACCTTGGTTAGCATTAAATATCTCTCTCTCCACGTGGACCACCAAGTGAGGTTGAGGTGACCATTGCTACCATGAAATGTGTCTGACTCCATTATTTTATCTCTCATGCTCTTTATGACTTTATTATAATCTTTACTTATTATTGATGTACAATTGTGCCTACTGGACCCGTGGTGATGTGTTAGGGCAGGTACCCTGACAGTTAGAATTGAAAACTCCAGTTTAGGGGAGAGGGGGCAATGAATAAAAAATTCCCAAAGAAATGTAAACAGGTCAGGGGGGAGGGGGGCAGAGGAAGGGAGGGGGGGAGGAAAATGAGCTGATTCCGGGAACCCAAGAGGCAAGTGAATTTTGGGAATGATGAGGGCAACAAATGTATAGATGTGCTCTACACAATTGATCTATGTATTGTGATGAATTTTATGAGCCCCAATAAATTGATTAAAAAAAAAAAGAAAGAAATGTAAACAGGTAAGCAAACCAAAAAGTTCAGGGCAGCTCTATTCACAATAAGCCCAAAGGTGAAAATAACCCAAATGTCCATCAACTGATGAATCGACAAACAAATGTAGTCCATACTTTCAACACAGTGTCACTCAATCATAGGAAGGAATGGAGCACAGATACGTGCTTCTTCTTCTTGTTAGGTGCCACTGAGGAGTGAGCTCCCACCCATAGTGACCCTGTGCACAAAGGAGGGAAACACTGCACAGTCCTGCGCCGTCCTCACAATTGCAACAATGGCCTGAGCCCATCATTGCAGCCATGGAGTCCATGCTACTGTCATGCCACTACACTGGTGAAACTTGAAAATATGTTAGTGAAAGAAGCTAGCCATCAAAACCCACATATTATGATTCCATTATAGGAACTATCCAAAAGAGGCCACCCCATAGAGGCAGACAAGTTAGCGGTTGCCAAAGCATGGGGTATCAGAAGGGGAAAGGGCTGCTTCATGGGTCTGGGGGTTTCAATTTGGAGTACTAATACGTTCTAAAAACAGGTGGCAGTGATGGGTGCACAATATTGTGACATGCACACTTTAAAATGGTAAATTTTATTACCATTTCAGCTCACTAAATCCACTTCAAGCAATCTAGTATGAAGATATAATAAGGAGATCAGTCAAAGACACATAACAAGATGTTCAAGTGGCAAATTTGTAATGACAAAATTGAAAACTGCCTGAATACTCAACAATACAGATTTGTTCAATAAAATATGGCACATCCATCTAATGAGATATTGTTCAACCATTGTTTTTAAAGGGTATCTTAAAATATGGTTAATGTCATTAGGGCATTTCACTATAAAATGTAAAGTGAAAAAAGAAATAGCACATGATATTTGACATGCATAGAGTATACACGTACATGCACATAAAAATGCTAAGAGCAAAGAGATTAAAAAAGGATGGCAGCCAACTACTAAGAGGGGGAAAGAAAAAGAAAAAAAAGTCATGGGTAGTGGGGAGCAGGGTGCTAACCACCCAAGGGGAGGGTATTATTTACATCTCCACAGGAGAGGGAGAGATCAACCTGATGTGCCAAGACATGAATACCACATGTACCAGGGAACCAATAGAGAGGTCTGCAGGGCCAGGCCCAGTCCCAACTATGTGGACACCTCCCCACCACCTCAGAATAATGCACTTCAGAGAACATCACTGGGGCTACAGCTTGGGGAGAGGGGCACATTTAATTAGAGCACATGGGAGAAACAAAAAGGGATGGAGAGGGAGGGAAGGACATCTAGGCCCACCAAGCCCCCAAGACAATGTTCCTGCTCAGAGCAGAAAATGCACAGAGAGGAACATAGGGCCGGCCCCACCACAAGACACAATGTCCCTCACTAAACCACAGCACTTCAGGAGACAATACTGGAACTGTGCACAATCTGACCTCATCACGCTGGGACGAAACACTAAGGGCATGCAACAGAGCAGCAAGGGGAGCAGAGTGATGAAATCCCCAGGAAATACCAAAAACAAACTTTGGAGTGTGGCACCCCATCAGATTCACTGGAAAACACTTGCAAAGGCCAACAAACAGACCTTGAACTATTTATAGGCCTTTCCATTTTTGTCAGTGGTTTTCTTTTTGTTGTTGTTGTTGTTATTGTTTTGTTGGTCTTAACTTCCTTTGTTGTTTTATTTGGCTTTGCCAGGCTTTTGCACTTATTAATGTATCTGCATGTCTATCTAGATAAGATAGGCAGGATAAATAATTCAGAGATAAAAAGAATGAGACCAATGGTTCCAGGGGGATACTGAAGAAAGGGAGGTGGGAAAAAGGAAAGGGGGGTGGGGTGGGAACCAACCCAGGGACAAGGGAACAACAAGTGAACTAAAATCAATGGCGAGAAGGGTGTAGGATGCCTAGTGGGACTTAATCAAGGGCAATGTAGCAGCAAGGAATTACTAAACCCGACTGAAGGCCAAACATGATAGTGGGACAAGAGGAAAGTAAAAGGAAATAGAGGAAAGAACCAGGAAGCAAAGGACATTTTTGGAGATCTAAATACAAGCATGTACACATGTAAATATATATATAAAACGAGAGAGGAATAGAACTATGTAGTTGTTATATAGTCATATCTATATGTTCATAATTAAGGTTGCAGATGGACATTGGGCCTCCACTCAAGTACTCCCTCAACACAAAAACACTTTGTTCTAACAATCTGGCATTCTATGATGCTCACCTACCCAACACAATCGCTAAGACAAAATGAGTACATAAGTAAATGTGGTAAAGAAAGCTGATGGTGCCCAGCTATTGAAAGATACAGCATCTGGAGTCTTAAAGGCTAAAAGATAAACTAGCAGCCATCTAGCTGAGAAGCAAAAAAACCCACATGGAAAACGCACACCAGCCTGTGTGATCATGAGGTGTCAATGGGATCAGGTACCAAGCATCGAAGACCCAGAACAAAATCATACCCAAGGTGAATGGCAGGGGCGCATGGAGTGGAAACCCAATGCCTATCTGTAGACAATTGGACATCCCCTTATAGAGGGGTCACAGGGAAGAGATGAGCCAGTCAGGGTGCAGTATAGCACCGATGAAACACACAACTTTCCTCTAGTTCTTTGGTGCTTCCTTCCCCCCACTATCATGACCTCAATTCTACCTTACAAATTAGATTAGGCCAGAACATGCACACTGCTATTGACAAGAACCCACAACATAGGGAATCCAGGCTAGGTAAACTCCCCAAGGAGAGATGAGATACCCGGAGGATTAGGAGAACGTGGGGGAAGAAACGGGGAATCAATCACAAAGATCAACCTAGAACCCCCTCTCAGGAGGACAAACAACGGAAAAGTGGGTGAGGGGTGACAGAGGACGGATGATGTAAGATATGAAATTAGTAATCTATAACTGATCAAGAGTTCGTGAGGGAGGGCAGGGGGGTGGGAGAGGGAAGAAATGGGGAGCTGATATCAGGGGCTCAAGTGGTAAGAGAATGCTTTGAAAATGATGATGGCAGCATATGTACAAATGTGCTTGACACACTGGATGAATATATGGAATGTGATGAGATGTAAGAGCCCCCAATAAAAGTATTTAATAATAAAAAAAGTTAACAATGTCCTGAAACTATTGTACTGAGATAGTCTTGAAACCGTCAACCAGAAATATCCCCTGAAGTCTTCTTAGAAGAAAGCCAGAGTTTAGCTTAACGGGAGAAGAATGTCTGCCTTGAATGATTATGCTCGTTTACAAATTACCCACATGGGATCAGATTGACAAAAGAGCGTCTTGATGTAGATTAGACAGTACATGTGGCAGTGAGATCATGTGACACTGACAAGAAACGACTCAGAGGAGGAGGCTGAGACTGGCTGTCTCTCTAAGCCTGTCATCAAAGTCACCGTGAGTACGTGGTGAGACCCTCGAAGCAGTGTAGGGTTTGCTGTGCATGTTCACAACCACAGCAAAATCAGTGAGCAGGTGTGAATGTTAGCAGGGTTTACCCTTCAGGGCAGGGTTACAGGTGTTTTGCTTTGTACCTTTCTGACTGTCCCAAACAATTTAAAAGGAGTGTGCCTCACTCCTATAACTGGGGAAGGGGTGAGTGGTGGGGAGGGGTGCAGGCTGCTTCTCTAAACCCAAAACTAGTGGGAGGAGGTCGTACTTGCCTTCTTTCTCCCATAGTAGAGCAGTTTTGTGAATTTCTCCACAATCTGCGCAGGTGTCTCCACACTTGGGGGGATTTCCCCGGTGAGCAGGTTTGGGGTCCCTGCGCTGGGCACCGGCCAGTCCTCATCCGTCAAGTTGATCAGGTTGGCCACGGGGGGCTGCCTCTTGAACTTCTCCAGCTTCTTGCAGTCTTGCATGAGCAGCTCAGCAATGTCAGACCCCACCATGGACTGCAAGGCAAGAGGATGATCCCACAGGGGTAGCCGGCTTAGTCCCCTTGCTGGTAGCCCAGGGAGGGAGGAAGGCATCAGGAATCCTCCTCATGAGGCCAGTGATGCAAACACACACACAAAACAGTGCTTTCTTGAATTTCTTGCTCTCAAAAATCAGCTTCACTCACTTGGCTATTTTCAGGAGCCACCCAAGTTATCGGAAACAGTCACAAGTTGATAGTCAAGTTACCTGGCTGATGTAATCACCGAGGATCTGGATGGTTATCCCCGGTCAGGGGAGTGGAGGTTACCTTTAGCAAGTGATTCCCCCCCCCACCCCCCCCCCCCCCCCCCCCCCCCCGCCTTGGGGGCAATTGTTTCCTTCTTCTATACTGTGTCCCTAACCAGGCCTACTCTTTACCCATTACCCAGAGACAACCTTAAGCCCAATCTACAGGTGCCCCACCCTGTCCGTACTCCAAGTAGTGGAACTTACCCCATTCTGTCGACAAAGGAGAACCAACAGCTGCCACAGTAAAGCAGAGTCTCGGCTCCTCGGGCCCTCAGATTTGTGGCTCTGAGCTGCTTTCTTCTGACAAAACGCCATGATATCGACCTTGTGTATATCTTCCCTGCGGGAGATTCCGGGGAGCACAGAGTGAGCAGCCAGACATGTACCTGTGTAGGACCCCAGGGGGAGTGCCCCTGGCTTGACTGGAATCTAGGTAGAAGTCTGATAAGCCTAGGCTGAGGGGATGACTCTGGAGGACGGGAAGGACTTCAGAGTTTCCTTCCTCCATGCCTTCCATTTCCCAGATGAAGAAACAGAAGCCCGGAGACCCGATCCGCAGATAGGAGAGCGTGCTTGAGAGTCACACAGTAACAGAGCCGTGAGTTCAAATCTAACGCTGCTGTTTTTCACCTTAGGCAAGTCCCTTGTTTCCTCTAAGCCCCATTTCCCCCTAAAACAAAGATAATAGAAACCTACCATCATATGAAGACAAATTTGAAACTAGTTTGGCAAGTATCACAGGAACCCCATTGCCACTGTGGCTTAGGCATTGGGCCGCTCACCAAAATGCCGGGGGCTCCAGCCCGCCAGCTGCTCAGAGGGACAAAGATGTGTCTGTTTTCTTTTGTAAAGGTTTACAGTCCCAGAAACGCAAAGGAGCAATTCTATTCCATTATGTAGGGCCATTAGGAGTTGAAATGGGTATGATAGATGGGTATTGTTTGCTCCTGGTTATTTAATAAAAATCAAAGCTATGCTGGAGCTAGAATCCAATTTGGTGGTCTATCCCACAACTGTATCCCCAAAAGAAATGGGGGCAAAAGTCGTTTTTAATCAAAAGGGCTATCAAATATGATATGAGGATATTCTTGGAGGGGGAGCATCTGATTAATATTCGGTTTAAACAGTCACTCGCTGCCACCAAGGTGATTCACAGAAACCCTATAGGATGGGGTGGAATTTCCCCTGCAAGTTTCTGAGACTATAACTCTTTTTGGGATTAGACAAGTTCTTCTTTCTCCCAAAAAGTAGCTGGTGGTTTTGAGCTGCTGACCTGGCAGTTAGCAGCCCAACTCATAAACACTGCCCCACCAGGGATGCTTGGTTGACAAAGCAGAGCTGTTATATAAAGAGCTTTATCTCCTTGAATTTCCAGTCACCACTTGGAGTAGGCAGAGACATTACATAATTTCCTAGAGGAAAAAGCAGATGCTCAGAGAGAGCTAATTGGCCCTGGTCATCATGAACCCACTAGTTAGTAGGCTAGCTGGGCCTGGAATCCAAGTCCTCAGACATGCAGCGAGAACTCTCTAAACATCCATTGCCTGCATCAATTTCAACTCATAGTGACCATGACAGAACAGAACTGCCACCATAGAACTCTCAAAGCTGTAAGTTAATCTCTGTGGGAAGCAGACTGCTGGTGGGTTCCAACTGCTGACCTTTGGGTTTTCAACCAAGTGCTTTATGACCAGAGCATCCTGAATAAATATGAAACCCACCACACCACCAGATTTGATGTTCAGCTGCTAACCTCAAGGATAGCAGTTCAAAACCACCAGCTGCTCCACAGGAAAACGATGAGGCTTTCTACTCCCATAAAGACTTGCAGTCTCAGAAATCCATGAAGGCAATTCTACCCTGTCCTGCAGGGTCACTATGAGTTTGAAGCCATTCGATGGCAGTGGATTGAGGGATGCCTTCAGGCATCCTGAATATATACATTTATCAAAAGCAATGGCTAGGAATCTTAAAGTAGTTCTACTTCAGTCCTGCAGAGGGCAGACTTGGACACAGTTCTGTAATGCCAGCCCTTAAGGCTGAATCTGTTCTCCAAAAAAAATAAAATCACTGTTGCAAGAACTTTGTTCACTATGATCCCCTCTCTGTGCTTTCCCTGGCCGTGCTGCGCTCTTCTACTCAGGTCTGTTCCCCACAATGAACGTTAAAGCATCCACTGAAACCTCGGCTAAATAAACTGATTTTTAGATTTTTTTAACAGGAAGTTAATTGTATCCTTCTATCCTTAGCTTCAAGAGCCTCTTCTCAAAATGGCTCAGGTCACACATGACTCTCTTGTAGCACAGAGGATCCCACTCCAATGGGGTAGACACTGTCTTGAAAGCTGGGCACAAGCACCCTCTCGGCCCACCCCACCCCCATTGCCCTGCCCTTCCCCAAGCCCAAGTGCTGCTCTGGGAGGAAAGGTGCTCTAACTTTGCAGAGCCTTCTCCCCCAGCAGCTCTTGCGGGAGTGCACCTGATCAAGGGTCCGGAGAACGCTCTCAGCTCCTCTTGCTCCTCAGAGTCACCAAGAATAACCTGGAGGAAGAGCGGATTTGGTCTCCAGGGCTATGCCCATCCAGCGCCCCTTTCCGTCAAGCCCAGCCTCAGAACCCAGGGGAAGCCATGGTCCTAAGAGGGGGTCTTCTTGTCGAGAAAGTAGAGAACCCCAAAGAAGGTTTCCTGTCCCTGAAGGGGACCTAACATCCCCTCAGGGAAAACAGAGTTCCAGCATCACTGCCCCGGGAGAGGAGTCAGCCCCACTGCTTCCACCTCCCAGCCCAGGAAATGCATGGCCCGCTTCCCCACCAGAGTGCTCCATTCTTGGAGAAGCCTGGGAAGGTAGATATGGTAGTTGGGTGAGCCGCATGCTGGCACTTGGGGGGACACCAGAATCTTGCTTACCTCCATGCTGTGCAGCTCAACAAGGGTCATTTGCCCATGAGTGGCAGACCGGAGGCCCACACACACCAGCTGACCTCCAGGTCCAAAACACACCGGCACGTGAGGAACGTAGAATTTCATGGGGGCCTTGGGAGCAGCGGCTGAGGCATCTTCTGACCGACAGACACGAGTGAACACTGTTAGCATTACTGCCACTTTTTCTTTAGTTTAGAAACTTGCCACAGAGTTATTTCTATCCAAATTCCATCTGGGACAAAGATGGGCATCTAGGTGGGGACATAACTACAGAAAGCTCCTGCTCTGAGTCAGACTTCAGGTTCTAAGAACATGTCCGATGCCAATGCAAAGCTTTGATGATGTGGTCCACACGGTAACCTGCCAGGCCCAGTCTCCCAGTGATGGTGAGAGGCCCAGGGGCCTCTGACTGTGATAGACTCCCCTCCTCTCACAATTTGTCTTCCTGAGAGCAGCGTTCTACATCCAGACTAAGTGATTCTACCTTGTGTCCTGCCTTTGCTGCACCTAATTCTCTCTGGTCTTCATTTTCTTTGCCCATTACTTCAAACGCCTCTGAGTGCTCGGCCGCAACCTGACGATGGTCAGGAACCCTGCTCCCTTCCAAGGGTCTGTTACAGAGCAATCGTGGCAATACAAGGGGGGTGTCGGAAATGGAGCCCTACAGCTGGCCTCTCTGCCACGGAGACAACAGACGTCAACCAGGCAGACAACCGTCTGCTCCTGCAAACACCGCCTAAGTGTGATTTTCCAAAAGGCTTGTCACCCGGCCCTTTCTTCACCAGACTTCACCACTTCGGACCTACCAGCCTGCACTGGACTCCAAGCTGCTGAAGCCATAGGATCATGGTGTTCCGAAGCCTCCTTCATGTACTGACTGAGCTCATAGCCACTGGAACTGAGACCAGACTCGTGCTGCTGGAGAAGGTTGGACTTGCTGGCCAACGATGGCTGAAAGAGAACAGCGGTAAAAACACACGGAAAGAATCAGAAGCCATCTCAAAGAGCCGGGCCGCCTGCAGGGGCCTCAGGACACACAAAGTTCACCTTCCCAGATGCATACAGTGGAAGTGGAAGTGTTGAAAGGAGAAGAAGGGCTGATTCAATTGACAGAGATTTGCAGGGGGCCACAGGATGGCCTGGTGGAAAGAGTGAATAATTACCTGCCAGGACCTTACACAAAGGACTTAGCCCCTCTGAGCTCAGTACCCTCATCTGGAATATCTTTTATTATTAAGATATATATATCGTCCCTATTCTAACTGCCATTGAGTTAGCCCCCAACTCATGTGACCCCATGCATAACAGATTGCACAAAAAAATCACTGTCCAATGGTATGCAATCTGATGACCAATTACAAATCAAACCATTGTGAGCCATAGCCACCCTCCCTCCCCCGGGCTACTTTTTGGAAGTAGATTGTCAGGTCTTTCTGTTGTTTGTCTTAGTCTGGATGCTCCACTGATGCATGCTCGGCGTCGTAGCAATGTGCTGTGTATAAGGTGCTTGGACCACGGATTGAACCCAGGTCTTCCACATAAAAGGTGAAAATTTCACAATTAAACCAACCAGCGTCCCTTCCACCTGCCCTATTCAAGGAGGCTTCCTAAAAAGTAGTGGAAAGTTTTGATAAAAAGATGATGAAATTTCCCCATGCACTTTTTGAAGCACTCTCATATACTTCAAGCATTTACTCATGCATTCATTCAGCAACTATTAACTGAATGACTATTATTCTGCAAACATTGACCTAGGGGTGCCTGCTATGCAAGAGAAGAAGTCCCTTGCCCTCATGGAACTTACAATCTAGAAGGACAATGTAAAGCGATAGATGGAAGAGCTCTTTGTACACTCGGCAGTGCTATACACATGGCTGTGACCGTTCTTAAAGTGCTGTCACCACCCTTAAGCACTACGTAGACAGAATCACCTATCCTCAAAATTATACTAATCATGGAGACAGAATTAATACAAGACTGTCAAAGATCAAGAGCTCATCTCTGCAGCTTCTTTGGAACACTTCCCCTAAATCTGAAGTTATTGTAAAGTAATATGTTTATTTAAAAGCATATGTGTGTTGTGCAGCTGGTGCACACTGTAAGAATTCAGAGGAGAGACTTGGGAGAGTCTGGGAAAGTTTCCAGTCTTGCTTTCTGACCAGAATCAAAAGAGTCTAACAGCTTCCAACTTCCTGGGTACAAATGACCAGCCCATTGGGGTTCCAGAGAAAGAATCAAACCCTAACACCTGCTGGCAGGTTCTTCCCCTCTTTCGCAGAAACGTGGGGTGACTTGGCAACCTTTTCAGACAAAGCCACTTTAACAAAAGTGCAGGAAGGTCAAATCAGGGCCCAGACTCATCCATGAGACAGAAGCAGGCAGGCAGGGCACGGGAGGCGTGAGCGGAGGCTCTGCCCAGAGGGGAGGAACAACAGGGGTCAGGCTGCGGGCCACTGGAGACTGGGCCATCTCCGAGGGCCCTGCATTGCCACCGCTGACAACGACAGTGGGATGCACTGTCACAGGCCACTACCTTCTTCTCATGTCAGGTTACCTTATTCTTCTGGGCCCCAGGCGGCAGACTCTCTGGAAATACCTCCCCTGGCCTCTCCTGTCCAGAGTTGGAAGCAGGACTGTCTCTGTAAGGGTCCCGACTGTTATATCTGCGGCAAAATGACAGGAGCGGGTGAGAGGGGGTCCCGGGCAGAGCCCAGCCAGGCTGTGCTGCTGTCTGCTGGAGGCCACTGTGCTTATTAAAAGTATGAGCAGGTGTCAGGTTGGCCTGTGAGCCATGGGAGATGCATTTCCCTCCCGTTCCCCACTTCCATCTATTAGTAGCAGAAAACCTGGACGCTTGTGTTCCTTAACACAGTTACTCAACTGGCCTCCAACCCTGCAGCAATGGATTGGTATCAGCAGCCTGACAGCCTGGGATGGATTCAATCAGAGATTTAATGAGACCCGTGAGCCCCAGGGGAAGGGCATTCGGGCAGGTCCTGGTTCAAAAGTCTCCCCTCTGTTTTGCCTTATCCCAGGGGGAAACCCCGTTTTCAGAGCACAAAAGGAGCACCTCAGCCCAGGCAGGACCAGATCCCAAGAACCTTTGCAAGGCCACACCTGTTGTGAAGCCAACATGAAATGCTGGCCCTTCTTCAGGATGTGAAGGGTCCTGCTGGTGCACTGAGGTCAGTGTTGGGCTCCAAACCAAAAGGCCTGCGACTTGAACCCATCACTCCTCTGCGGAAGAAAGCCGAGGTGGTCTGCTTCCGCACAGCTTTATAGCCTGGAAGCTCACAAAGCAGTTCTACTTGGCCCTTTAGGGTCAGCTTGAGTTGGAACCCATGTGATGGCAGCGGGTTTATGTTTAGGAGCATGGCCCCATGGGGCCCAGGCTTGCGCAGGTCCTAGAAATGCCTCTCCCTGAGACACAAATCTCTCCTCCTGGGCACCAGGCACACAGCCAGCACAGGCTCTCCTGGACCACTGCCCTCCCCCAGGAGGGAGAACAAAACCAGACTGGCTATCGGACGAGATACCAAACACCAGATGTCATAGATTTGCATAATGTCGTCTAGGTTTGGCTGCATTCTATTGAACTGGCCCCTCCTTTTACACTTACTGGAATTGGCTCTCATTATTTGTTCCAAATGCACGATTCTGACTTTCATGAGGATGTTCACTGAGGGACTTTTGCTCCTGGTAATCCTCATGCCAGGTATAAGGACTCCCTGGCCTTGGAACTGCGCCCTCAGAGAAAACACAATGGACAGGTCATTTCTGGGAAGTTCACGAAGATTAGCAAGTTTTTATGTTGACTGGCTAGACGACAGTTGGTAGATTTTATATACATAAAGCATGTTGACGAAATTGAATTAAATCGATGGCTGATACAGCAGATGAAAGTTTATAGCTGCTACCACTCTCCGGCTGCTCTGAACCAACTATTATGCTTCTGAACAATGGGCTGGAGTCCCTGAGCTGTGCAAATGGCTACAACATACTTGGCCGCCAACTGAAATGAAAGACCAGAAGTTCAAGTCCCCTCAGAGGTGCCTCAAAAGAAAAACTTGGCAGTCGACATTCCAAAAAAAAGTCAGCCATTGAAGCTTCTGGGAGGCACGGTTCTACTCTGAAGCACACGGAGTCTCCATGTGACAGCAGCTGGCACTGGAACACGTTTGCAAAATGGTGGGGATCGTGTGTGTGTGTGTGTGTGTGTGTGTGTGTGTGTGTGTGTGTGTGATTTCAATGTTGAAATTGATTTTTATCTTTGCTAGCAGGCCAGGAACTTGTCTTCAACACATATCAAAAGCTTCATTGTCAGTGCACCATTTGGAAATGCCTTTTTTAGCCACATCAACTTCCCAGCCTTTTGCACAAATGGGCCAGAGCCTGAGATCTATGATTAGGGTACAGTAGCAATCACACTCACACCTCAGGTGGTTATGGCCCAACAAAACAGTTGATGCCCTTGAGAACTGATTTCACTGCTACTTGATCCAAGACTATAATCGTTTTCTATATATAGGGAAAATGTAGGTGATCTGCAAACTATCCATGCTACTCATGGCATCATGAGAGTGATTTCAGTACCATCATATCTGTATGAAAGAAGACATTTTCTTCCTTTACCCTGGACCCATCTCACCAAGAAAGAAGGAAAGGAGGGCCTCTACTTTACCCCAGTTGGTTGCTCAAGATGAGCCTCTGGGCATGGCCCCTTTAGTCTCTGACTTGTGTAACAGACCAACTTTACCATCCCCAAATCCTCAAGGGTTTTAGAGATGACTCCATACCTCTTTCTTCTGGTAGCTCCTGTGGGTGTCCATGATAGTAGTAACTTCCATAAGCATAGTCTTCCCTTAGGGCTGGAGAACGATAGCCTTGGTATGGAATCTCATAGCCTGGCCTAAAACATCACAAAGATAGCTGGTCATCCAAAAACCGAGGTGGTAAAAAATACGTCAGTTGTAGACTGCACCAACTAAACAAGTGACACCAATATAGAATCAGCTTAAAAAGCAAAATTGATTCCTGCTCATATAAACATAAACTGGAGGATCAGAGCAGGTGGGAAGTCTATGTCCTAAAGCAGACCTGGATTCTTATAAGAAAGTCATAACCAACCATCTTATTCTCTTTTCTTATGTTTCCTCGTGCTCCCATGATACGTAATCCCAACAATTCAAGGAGAAAACTCTGTTCTGACGTTATCTTTGAAAAGCCTTCCAGAAGATGACTGTGCAAGTATTCAATAGGGCATTGTAATTTCAAAGCACAGGACAGCTAGCAATGAGATGAAAAAGTCAAGTTAAACTATCTGAGGTCCCGTTGCTTTCACTGCCATTATTTCATTAAAATAATCTCTCTTTGAGAATTCAACAACCTAAAAGGGATTGGGAAAAGGAATGTAATGAAGCTGGTATTGTTAGAAATGAATAATGCTCTCGTATCTCAAAGGGGCACAATACTGTGTCATGACTCTCACAATTTCCACTCTCGTTCTGTAGGCATATTCCACCCTGGGGCAAAAATTCCTCTTCATCCATGAACCTGTGAAAGCTACATGACAAGTCATTTGTTTCTAAAGTACAATAGTGGAGCAGGTACAAGGTAGACATGAACACTACAAATGGAGAAATTGTAGGAAAACAATGGATAATGAGCCAAGCAAGTTCAAGCCCAGCAGAACAAATTATGTTAGCTTTCAAGACTTGACAATAGTCCTCTGTTCTCTGAGACCATCTTGGCAACAGCCCTGCCTTTAGACTCTGCGTGTTGGACATGCCTTTTAAATTCTTCGTGGCAGCCCTTTGTTCTTGGCTTCAGCTCTGCCTCCCAGACACACTGCGAGAGTAGCCCTGCTCCCTTGCCTTTGGGCAGCCCATGTTCCTAGTGCATCTGAGTGGTGACCCCAGACCTTCTATCCTAGCAAACCCCATTCTTCTGGCCCTTGGACATGGCCGCCCTTCCTCCTCAGGCTTAGGTGGCAACCCTATTCCCCTGGTGCATTTTCATGGCAGCTCCATTTGTCCAGAACTGACTTGGTGAAAACCCAGCTCCTTGAAGCCTAGGAGGCTGGTGGCCCGATCCTTTGAAATCCAGGACACAAGGGCCCCACCCTGCGAAACCAAGAAGGCCCTGCTTCCCGAGCTCCTTCCAACAATTCCACTGATCTGCCAGCTGCTCTGCAGAAGGTCATTTCCTTTTCTTGGAGGATGACAGATGCGGCTGCTTTGCCCGTTCTTTGCCTATACCATTCCAAAAGGCAAACGATGTCCTGTCCTTTCCCTCTTTCTGTGCTCTTCAAACTCAGCGGTTGGGTTTTCTGCTGAGGTGACTGGTGAGATCCATCAGTCAGAGGTTTAACATTGTGTAACCCTTGAACCAGCTAGGGCACATGTCCTTTGTTCATACAACAGGCTTTACTTTCATCTTGCACAATCCACTTTTAAGCTCATCTCTTTCCTCTCACAGTTTACTATACGCAGGAAAGAGAAGCCAAGTGGTTCCTTTACGATCTTGCTTAGAAATTTCCTCAATATTCGAGTGTACCACTTGAACTTTCTACTTTCCACCAAACATTTGAGCATAGTTCAGACAAGTTCCTTGTCATGGTGTAAGAAGTGCCACCCTGCCTCCATTGCCCAATCACATGCTTATCGTTTCCTTTTAAAGCCTCACCAAAAATACATCTCATGGCCACATTTCTGGCACTGTTCTGTTGCTGGCGCCATATGTATTTTCCAAGATCATAGAGAATTTCTCTAAGGCTCTCCTCACTTCCTTCTAAGCCCCATCAGAATTGCCTTTGACATCCACAATTCTACCAACTGTCTTTTCCAGGTAACGTAAATGCTTACTATTAGACACCTTAACAGTCTTCTACCTCAATTTCAGAACCACTTCCATGTTTAGGAATCAGAGCAGCGCCCCACTCTTTCAGTAGCAAATTCTGTCTTATTGACCTCGGGCTGCTCTGATGGCTTTAACAAACAGAAACTTAGTTTCTTGGTCTCGGCACCTAGAAGTCTAGATTCAGGCTATTGGCTGTAGGGGAGGGCTTTCTTTCTGTGTCCACTCTGGAGGAAGAGCTTTGCCTCTTTGGAGCATTTGTTCCTACTGCGCCATCTCCTTGTGGCTTGAAATCTCTCTTCCCCCACCTATGCTTGTGAGTTTATACTTAATCTCTTTTCTATCTCAAAAGGAGGTGAATCAAGAGACATCCTGGAATAATCCTGTGTCAGTAACCTAACAAAGCCAAATTATTCCTTAATGATATTATAACTGTGCACATAGAGGTTAGGATTTACAACCCGTGGGGAAGGAGGCCAGTTAAACCCGTAACCCTGGAAAAGGAAGACAAAATATGAGAAATAAAAGGAAGAGGTAACTAATAATTTGTTCGTAAATATTAAGGAGAGTTGGGTCTATTCCAGCCTCTAAATTCGTACCTTGAATATCTGGGATAGCCACCTTCATAATAGTCAATGCCACGCACAGGTTGGTGCCATTCCTCAGGCCTGTATGGATGCTGATACTGCTGGGGGTCTGCCCTGGGGTCCTGCTGTGGCTGGGGGCTCCCTCTCAGGTCTTGCCACTGATAGAACCTCTTTCCATTGTGTGGAGAGTAAGGAATTGGTCGATTATATTCATCTCTTCGAAGTCCCCGGTCTGAATCCTTTGAGGGTGCTGTGGACTTCCCCTGTGGCTGAGGTGGCCCCTGGGGAACCCAAGGTTCCATCTCTGACCCACTGGATTTCTCCTGGGTGTTAAGTCAGTTGTGTAGTTGTTTTATCTTCCTGGGGGGGCGGGGAGAACCACACACACAAATAAATAAATTTGCATCATTTTAAACCTAGATCCACACATGGTCATGAATAGGTTTTGGGAAAATAGACTTAGCAACTACAGCTACCACCTGTTGAAATATTCTCTGTACAACCAACCGCATGAGTACTGACATAGAGAACTCTGAAAAACTACCTTGATCCACTACATGAAATAAATAGCAGACTAGAAAATTACATTAATGTTGCTTAAAATTTTATAAGCAGATTTTGAGCAATAATAAATGTGGAAATAATGAGAACAGTTAATAAATAGCACCAAACCAAACCCACTGTCATTAAGTCAATTCTAACTCATGAAAACACAACAGAACAGAGCAGAACTGCTCGGAAGGCTGGAACTCTCTTTGGGAGCAGCCGACCTCATCTCTCTCCCAAACTGTTGACCTGTGGCTAGCACTCAACACTATACCACCAGGGCTCCCTGATAATAGCACATGGACAACTTTAAAAAGCTCTCCCGGTATCCCAATTCAATTAAGCTTGTTCATTTATTCTACTGGCAAATAGTTATTCGACACTTCCTATGGAGGCCCTGCAGTCTCTTAGAAATAGAATGTGCCTTGAAGAGTTTGTGGGGAGGACTAGGTGAGGATTTACAATCCTAGAGCTGCCGTGTGTCAGCGACATGATCAGAGAAGTTCTTTTTCTCAAATCACCTGTAAAATGGAGACTTCCTTGTAGGTTTGGAGATTGAATTAGAGAAACGTGTGAAAAGTGCCCAACACATGGCATGGTAGAGTCTTTGTTCCAAAAAGCACAGTAAGTATCATCAGTATGCCCAACGCATTGTAGGAGAGAAAGACGAAGATGGTAAGATGGCTGGAGACTTCTCTTAGACACAAGGAAGCTGAAAGACCTCTTCAAAAGAAGTCTTTTCTGAACCCTTAAATTAACCTCTAGAAAGAACTCCCATAATAGGGTCATGCCTTGCCCCTCCTCCAGGAAAGTCAGTGAGACGGAACTTCAGGATTGCTTGCTCAATACTACTTCCTGCCTGGAGGTTCCAAACCCTGGAAAGTCTCCGCCCACATCAACTAATTCCCCCCACTTACTTCTCACAGGGAAAATAGCTCCAGATGGATGACTACTTTCCAAGTCCTCGGTCGGGCTCAGTATCACAGAGGAGCCCCTGCGTCCAGCTGCCTCCAAAGGGAATCACAGGGAAAGCGCAGAGGTTCTCTTGTATCTGGTCCGCCCACCCCGACCCTTTGTCTTCCTTAAGACTTCTTCTGGATTGAAAGATTAAGATTCTAATGGATCCAGTTCACTTGCTCCTACCGCTGAGATGCTCAACCCAGTATAAAAATTCGTATCAGAACAAAAGGTCAAAAGGGTATATGTTGAAAACCAGGTGTCACGCTGCTCTAAAGCCCTAGAGCCAGGGCACACAACCATGAGCCAAGGACGCTGAGACAGCAGTTCCGGATCTGAGCACACAAGTACAGAGGACTTGCTGCGCCTTTCTTCCCATGTCCGTCAGCCTGCTTCTTTGAACAAGCGAGTGAAAGTACCGTGAACGTGATCACCAATAAGACCCCAGAACGGGCTAATGTCCCAGACACAGTGAAAGGGGGGTGGGCCTTTCCTGAAGGCTAACGGAACTCAACGTCATTTGGACACAAGAAACAGCAACAAGGTGTGGCACAAGTGGTTGGCAATCAGCTGCCAAACCCACTCAGATATTCTCCAGAAGAAAGTCCAGGCAAACTGCTTCCAGAAAGACCACCGCCATGAACAGCGCATGAGCAGTTCTACTCAGCAACCCAGGGGGTTGACACGAATCTGAGTCAGCCCCACAGCAGCAGGTTTGGCTTCCGTTTAAGAGCAACAAGAAAGCCATCTCCACCTTGTCCCCAGATGTTTCACTGGCTAGCAATAGCCAGTCTATTAGCTAAAGTCACATCATTTGTTGCCACAAAACACCAACTCCAGTAAGTTAGACTGCATGGAAAAGTGTGGAAAGCTCCAAATGAAGGAATGACATCTAGGGTGACAAGGCACACTCGGACAGTCACACATCTGGCCTTCTCACACTCCCAATAAAGGTCATGCTGCTTGTCCTAATCCGATAGCAAACCAAAACAGCAAGAAGGAAGAAAGCAAGAGACCTGGAATTCCCACACACCTGCTGTGACGGCTTCCCACCTTCCTCCAACGTACCTCCAGGGACCTGGCCCAAGAATGCCTCCTCTTCTATGACAACTGTCAAAGTCCAGGTGCCACATCGACTAAGATTTACCTGGCCCTCAAATCTATAGCCAGTGAATCACCTTCGCAATGACTGGCCCTCCATGGAGCTGATTCATTAGGGCAAAGTACAGCCTGCTTACCTCAGTCGGGGACAGACCTGACTTGGTGTATTTGCTCAGCACCCTGTCTCAAAGGCTTGTTCGCCTGTTTGCCTGCTTGTCGGCAGAGCCAGGTTCACTCACCTGAGAAGGCATCCAACCCCCCACAGCAAACAAGAGAGCCATGCAGGAAAGGAAATCAGAAAGCCTCCAGGCAGCCCGCTTCTGAGAAGAGCACCGCCTCTAGGCCATCCACTTGTACTGACTTAACCTCTTTTTCTCTAAATAGAAAAAAGCAAGATAGCTAGACTTCATCAGACATACTCTGATCATCTTACCAGGAAGAAGCAATTCCTGGAAAAGGATAGCATGTTTGTAAAAGGTTAAAAAAAAAAAAAAAAGGAAGGCCTTCAACAAGACACTGTGGCTGCAACACTGGGCTCATTCATAACAGTAATTGTGAAAATGGTGCAGGAACGGGCAGTTTTTTGTTCTTTTGTAGACAAAGGCATTATGAGTCACAACCAACCCAACAGCACCTACAAATCACAAGACTGCCTCTGGCAGCTGGGAAAATGCCCCGGTGCACAGTAAATACCCGCTGGGTCTGCTCTGGGGTGTTCTCATTCATGCTTCTTTTCCATTGAATTCAGATGACGTGAACAGTTCTTTTATCTAATTAGAAGAAAGATTTAAATGTCCACTAATTCACCTGAGGCATTAGAAAGTGTTCTATTTTAAGTTTTTTTAATTCTTAATTTTAAAAATAGGTTTTTTTCACCATTATCAGTATATACATAGAAAAGTTTATTTCTATCTGTAAAAATATGGAGTTCGTTTAGACGGCCCAATTGGGTTTATTCTTTTTTTCAATAAGCATTTACTGAGCTCTTATCAGGGAGCCCTGGTGGTGTAGTGGTTACCAGGTGGGCTGCTATCTGCAAAATTAGCAGTTTGGAACCACCAGCCACTCCATTAGAGAGAACCCTGGGGCTTTCTACTCCTGTAAAGTGTTACAGTCTTGGAAACTCACAGGGACAGTTCGACCTTGTCTTAGGGGATTGTTGTGAGTTCCACGCCCTCGGTGGCAGTGAGGTTGTTTTCATGAGCTTTTGTGGCTAACTGTGGGTTAGGCATTGAGCTACTAATCAGAAGGTCTGGAGTTGAACCCGAGGAGCTGCCTCAGGGAGTACGATGGGCCATCTGCTCCTCTAAAGATGGACAGTCTTGGAAATCCTACATAGGTCGCTAGGGACACAATCAACTCAATGGCAGTGGGTTTTAGGTTAGTGTTATGTACCAGAATTTAGCACACATAAATATGAAAGACAGTGTGTGTTAGTGTGGGTATTTTAGAGAAACAAATCCACAGCAACTCATGTATAAGAGAGAGGTTTATATAAAGCGTAAGTGCACATCAAGAAAACATCCCGACCCAATGCTGCCTAAGCCCACAAGTCCAACATTAGCCCATATGTTTGACACCAGTCCACAAAGTCCTCCTCCATCTCACGAAACACGCAATGATGCTGACTGCAGGAGGAAAGCCGAGTCAGTGAATGTGTAAGCATCTCAGAGCTCCATGCAGCTGCTCCAGCACCCAGGGCTGTATCGGGGTAGGTCCATGTGGCTTCTTCTCAAAGATGTCTTGTAGGAAGTGAGACTTGGCAGGTGAAGCAGGGAACTGCTAAGGGAGCTGCACCCTGGTGCGACCATCACAAAGCAAGAGACCCGAGAACTAGAAAGGCGAGGATCACCACCCATTTATCCCTCCTCCCTTCAATTAATTCCACATGTGTTTTTCGGCCAGGTTGGCACAATAAATATTAACTATCTCACAGTGTTTGCCTTCAAAAAGTTTAGAGTAAATGAATATCTCAAATCATTCCTAGTGCAGGGACAATGACTGTGGTTGCATCTCATGTTCAGGTAAGAAAATGTGTATCTGGGCTTTAGGATTTTGTCTCTAGCGCTTCAACTGACTTCTAAGACCTGAGTGCAGAATTCTCAGACCGTGAGTAGTGAGTGTTTCCTACCTCATTGGTGAGCCGGAAAGTTTCACTCGCTAATAAAGACTGGAAGTCACTTTATGCTGACAGCACAAATCATAGCATGGTTGTTATAATAAACATTCATATATCGAATTAGGAGCTCCAATAGGCCACAATAGCACTCATTGAAGTCTGATGTAAGTCTTCTGGCTGATAACCATGGTAGTCCTGCCTATATAACACCAGCTACATTAACCTATTACCATTGAGTCAACTGATCCATATCCAGCTGATAACACAAAAGACCACCCCACACTCCAAGGCTATAAACCTTTACAGAAGCCGACGGCCACATCTTTCTCCCTCCACACCACTGACCTTCAACTAGCAACTACCGTGCCACCAAACTGCTCTAGCTAGAGTACTGGAATATTCACTTTGGAGGCATGATTGTTGTTATTGTTGTTGTTGTTGTTGTTAGGTGCCATCAAGTCAGTACCAACTCATAGCAACTCTGTGCACAAAAGAATGAAGTGTTGCTCAGTCCTGTGCCATCCTCAAAAGCATCGCTAGGTTTGAGCTCATTGTTGCGGCCAATGTATGATCCCATCTCATCAAGGGTCTTCCTCTTTCTTGTTGATCCACTACTTTCCAAACAAGTGCATTGTCATTGAGTCCATTCAGACTCACAGTGACCCTAGAGGACAGAATAGAATTGCTCCAGGGGTTTCTGATGCTGTCAATCTTTACAGAGGTAGAAAGCCTCATCTTTCTCCCTAGAAACTGCTGGTGAGTTCAAACTGCTGATCTTGCAGTCATAAGCCCAATGCATAACCCGCTACACCACGAGGGCTCCAACCCAAGCATAATATCCCCCTGAGCTGGGCCCTCTGGTTGCGCATACAAAGTACTTCGGGTAAAGTCCTCATTTCCAAGGATCATGCCGATTGTACTTCTTCCAACACAGATTTATTCTCCTAGCATCCATGATATATTTAATCTTCTTCACCAGTGTCATAAAGTCTTGTCATAAATTGATGTCAAAGATATCAATTCTTCTGTCTTCTATGTTCATATGCATGTGAGGTTATTGAAAATACCATAGCTTGGGGTCAAGTGCATCGTAGTCCTCAAAGTGAAGTCTTTGTTTTTTTAACACTTAAAAGAGATCTTCTGAAGCAATTTTGCCCAGTTCAATTTATTGCTTCATTTCTTAACTAGTTCTGTAAGCACTGATTTGTGAATCCAGATAAAATGAAATCTCAAAGAGTGCCTAGCTTTCCTCTGTTTAACACAGTGTTGTTTATTGGTCCAGGTGTGAGGGATTTTTAAGATGTAATCCATATTGAAGGCTCTAGTTTTTAATTTTCAGGAAAAAAAACTTCAAGTCCTCTTTGCTTTCATGAGCAGGTTTGTGCCATCTACATGTCCCTGATTATTAACGAGTCTTCCTCCAGTGGTGTCGTGTTTTCCTTCATGTAGTTGACCTTCTCAGATGATGTTC